AGTAAAAGAGTGAGTATTTTTTACTGGCCCCAGTATTCTGAGTTCCACCATGTCCCAAATCTAGCCTTGTCCCATGAATGGGGGCTTTGTGAAAGAATGATGCCCACCATGTCTTGGCTGCACTGGATCAAGACTTAGCTTCAGGAACAGGTAGTTGGAGGAAGAATGAGAAACACTTATGTCCTGTGCCACCCAAGAAGATAGTCCTTCAACTGAGAAATAGGGGGAGAGAAAGCCATATATTTTTAGTTATTTCACCTGCAGTGGAGTTTCTTCCTAGATAAGCTTGTGTCAGGGGAAGGAGGGAACGGTTCTTGTTTCAAATACCATAAACTTTCACTGTTTCTAAAGTTTTAGATTTTCTTAAATACATGCTTTTTTCATTTATGCTATGCCATTTTAAGACCATTTCCAGAGATTTTTTTTATTTTTTTAAATGGTTATTTATATTTTATAATTTCCACTAGTTTCACTGGGAAGCTTATCCACAAAGCTCTTCATGCTGTTATCCTGGAAGTAGAATCTATCCATTCACATGTAATGCTATTATTGATGTAGTTGGATTTATGTCTATCATTTTAATTTTTTCTATATGTCTCATGTCTTTTTTGTCCTATTCTTTCTTCTTGGTATTAGGTAAATATTTTCTAGTGGAACTTCTTTAAATTATTTTTTTCACTATTTTTTAAGTTATTTTCTTAGTGGTCCTAGGGCTTGCACATATCTCTTAGCAGAATATGGTTCACTTTTATACTAATTTAGTTCCTTTAAGATATACAAATGTTACTCCTGTATAGTTCTATTCTCTCTTCCTTCTTTTTTTCCTATTTTTGTTATGCATATTATATCTATTCAGTATGTTAAAATATATTAACATATCATAATGTATGTGATATATTTAAGAATCTAAGAATACATTATTTTAGTTATTACATTGTATACATTTTTAAGAAAGTGAGATAAGAAAATAGAACTATTTATACAGTTTATATTAATCTTCTAATTTACCACTTCTGTCCCTCCATCTCAGGATTCCCTACATTTTAATTTCCTTTTTTTGCCATACTAGGGATATTTGCTAAATTTTCAACCTTGGTTTTCCATTAACATTATTTTTAAGGAGACAGAATAAAACAATTTTGTGGGTTTAATTATGTCCCTTCTAAAAGATATGTACATTTCCCTATCCCCAGTATGTGTGAATATAACTTCATTGGAAAATAGTGTCTTTGCACATGTAAATCATTCAGGTTCTTGAGATGATATTATTCTGGATTTAGGGTGGACCTGAAATACAATGACTGGTGTTTTTATAAGAAAGAGGAGAGGGATTTTTAACACAGGGACACACAAGAAAGACCACATGAAGTTGGAGTCAGAGACTGCAGTTATGCTGCCACAAGCCAAAAAATGCCAGGAGCCACCAAAAGTTGGAAAAGGCAAAGAAGGATTCTCTACTAGATTTTGGAGGGAGTGTGTCCCTGTGATACTTTGATCTTAGATTTATGGACTCTAGAACTGTGACAGAACAGATTTCTGTAGTTTTAAGTCACCCTCTCGTAGTAATTTGTTATTGGAGTCCTAGGGAACTAACACACCCAATCAGGCAATCATTCCAGATATTTTCTTTGTAAATCCATGTTTGCTTTCATTTATGAAAATTTCCTTCCCCTCCCAATTAAGCTTTTGGGCACAGGGTTAATACTGGTGACTTTTATTGCAACAAAGTAATTCAAAGCATTTGGCTTATCATAAACAACAAATGAAAACTTTTTATGTTAATATACACATTTTAATAACTTTCCTTTTGTCAACCTAGTCATTACAATCAAGAGAAAAACAAGGAAATTGTGCCAGTTTATTGATTTACTGCTTATCATCTCTAAATTCTCCCTTCTTGACTGCTCTATGAAAATGAATCTGGGATATTTATTTATTTTTATTTAAAGATTTTATTTATTTACTTGACAGAGAACAAGAGAGAGAGGAAGACATAGCACAAACAGGGGGAGTGGCAGGCAGAGGGAGAGGGAGAAGCAGGCTTCCCGCTGAGCAGGGAGCCCTACTCCAGGCTTCATCCCAGGACCCCAGGATCATGACCTGAGCCAAAGGCAGATGCTTAGCTGCTTAACCAACTGAGCCACCCAGGCGCCCTGATCTGGGACATTTAAATATTTTTCCTTTTGTAGCTAGAACTGAAGGTTTTTCAGTAGATGGAACTGGAAATACAGTGCAGGAAGAAAGGGTTTTGCGTCCTGCTTCTGGCATTTTTACTGGGTAGGCTGCTCCCCCAGCTTGTATAATTTCTCCTGTGCCTTGTTCCTGTGGTGCATTGTTTTGGTAGCACTCCCAGCAGCTTCCCCTGGTACCTTCTCCTGGTGGCTTTGTAGTAATGTCCTTCTGGTGATAAACTTCCCCATGAACACATTTCTCAGGCACCCTAGAAGACTGATCCCCAGGGCAGAGTTCCAGTGACTTCCAGAAGTTGTAGTTTCAGCAAGTTCTGCCCTCAAGGTACCACAGCATCTTTCCTGCCATTTAATAAGTCTTGTCTGGCTTAATTCTCTCCAACCAAGTCTGGATCTTAGTCCTAAGTGGGGAGTAGGGGTTGAGGGTACTATACCTCAATTCTAGGAGTAATGGCTATTTTATTTACTATTATATTATATATCTATATATCTACTATTATATTATATATTAGAGTTCTCTTTACTCCTTACAAGGTAATCCCTCATTACTCCAATCTCCTATTATTGATAATAATAATCTTAGCCTAGGTTTTTTAGCTCTCACTCTGGCCATGTTTTCCCCTTAGAAAGAAAGAACACAAGGTAATTGTGATATTATAGTTCTATCTTTGGTGGTTATGCTATAGTACTTGAAAATGCCATTAATGTTAAATATTATTAACAATAATTAGTTAATTATTCTTGATAATTAACAATAAAATTATTAATAATTTTGTATCTTAAACTTTCTTAAAAGGCACATGTTAATTTGAATTAATTAGTAATTCATAGTAATTTTCCCTCCTGATTGCACCCAGACTGATACTGGAATAACAATGTCCTACAAAGTTTGAAATATGGTATGAATATATTCACATGACTTTTACAGCAAGCAATTCCTGTGAAGTGGGCACAGCAAATACTATTACATTGAACAGATGAGGAACAAGGCTCACATAATACAAGTAAGCTGTGAAAAGTCACACAGTTATTTTTATTATCTGTAAAATGGGGATAATAAAACCTACCTCCGAGGGTTTTAAAAAGATTTATAAAGATTAAATGAAGTAAAGTATATAAAGTGCTTAGTGCATGGTAGCGTCTTGATAAATGTTAACTGTTATATATATTATACTTGACTTGTAAAAAATATTTAATCTGGTGTTTTACTAAACTATTTGTAATGAGTTGTCTAGGGCTTGCTTATATATTTCTTCAATATCTTTTTTTTGTTGTTAATGACATTTTTCAAGTACTGTAGCATAACCATCAAAGACAGAACTATCTTATCACAATTAACTTGTGTGGTTCTTTCTAAGGGGAAAACATGGCCAGGGTGAGAGCTAAACAACCTAGGCTAAGATTATTATCAGCATAATGCAATTCTAGACCAACTGCGATCAATGGCTAAACTCTGAGTAAGGAAACCAAATTTCTAAGAATCCATCCCTAAACTTAAAAGGTAAACCTTCAAATTTGATTATTTTAATGAATGTAAATAGTACATGCAGGGCACCTGGGTGGCTCAGTTGGTTAGGCGACTGCCTTCGGCTCGGGTCGTGATCTTGGAGTCCCGGGATCGAGGCCCGCATCGGGCTCCCCGCTTGGCGGGGAGTCTGCTTCTCCCTCTGACCCTCCCCCCTCTCACGCGCTATCTCATTCTCTTTCTCAAATAAATAAATAAAATCTTTAAAAAAAAAATAGTACATGCAGCTTAAACATCATCTCTGGTCTCATCAGGTTTGGCTTCTATTAATTACTTTTTTCGGTCAAGGCTTGAGGTGGGAACAAAATATTAAGGAAAAGTAGAAACGGAGACTCAGTTTATTATATATGTACCAATTATTCTGCAAATCCTTTAATCACTTTTTATTAACCTAATACTGAAAGTCAGTATTGTACTAAAAATTTAGGATTCTATGTATTAAAAAACAAAAACTGTCCCAAAGCTTTCATACAGATTTGTAATAATACCTAAAACCTTGCATACAGATATGTAATAATACATAAAAATCCATTGTTAATGTAAAATACTTTGGCAGTACTTTAAGACAGAATTGAAAATTATCCTACAGGAATGAGACAGATATGGCACGTGTTAAACTTTCAGAAGGGGAAGAAATAAAATGCTTCATATCTGACGGCATATTCCCCCCACAATATGAGCCCTGTACTCTGGACCGGTAAGTAGAACATTTTCATCTGGTACAAAAACAATCTGAAAGCGAAACAAGTGACATAGACATAGGGGCTCCTTTTTCAGCCTCAGTCGCAAGATCCTTCAGTGGCTGGCCTCTTTTCGGTGGAGGCAAAACAAAACAAAACAAAACCCCAAAAAACAACAACAAAGCCTCTTCGGTGACGGGAGGAAAAAGAAGAAAGCACTGAATCAGGTCAACCCTTCACACGTTCCTCACGACAACGCCAGAGGGAAAGGTCCTCAACAGGAAAGAGCTCGACTGCTCTCCCAGGAAAGGAAAAGTACGCAAGACCTCTCGGAGGAGAACGCCACCATGGAGTTCTACGGCGTCAGCCAGAGCGTCGGCCGTCAGTTAGCACCTCCCCGTTTCCGGGAGCGGTAGCTAGGCAACCGCCGGCCTCAGGGAGAGTGGAGGACATTCGGTTGCGTTAGTGCCCCTAGCGGCGAACAGCGAGACCTGCAGGCTCCTCTCACAGTTTTTACCCTCCCCTCTCTCCACCCCCTTTGCCCCGTCCCCCCCCCCCCCGCCACTTCGGCTCCTCCCCTCTCTTCTCTCAGGCTGGCTAGCGCTCTCTCTCTCTCTCTCTCTCTCTCTCTCTCTCTCCCCCCCCGCCCCCCCTCCCCTCTCTCTCCCTCCTCTCTCTCCTTCCTCTCCGCCTCCTCTGCTCTTGGGCTAGAATATCTATGGGTCGATACGTGATGCGATGAATCCGAGAGCGACCAGAGAGACCAAAACTAGGACGAGGAGTGGGGCGGAAGCGGTGGGACTCCTGGGCATGGGGGCTTCACCACAATAGAGGCAGCGCCCCCACCCGCCCCCGCCAGCTCCTCCGGAGCGGAGCCCCCAAACCCCCTAGGGAAAAGGATGGCGGCGGCACCTACCCAGATCGAAGCCGGTGGGTAACTGTGTCTGGGGGCTAAGGAGATGGGAGCTTGGCGCGACGGCTGTCAGTTTCTTTTGAAAAAGCTTCTGTTTTTCTTTACCTCCCTCTCAACCTCTTTTTCCCCCTCTTCCACAGAGCTGTATTACCTGATCGCTAGATTCTTGCAGTCCGGACCCTGCAACAAATCCGCTCAGGTGAGAGGGAGAAGGAGCTCTGGGGAATGGTCCCAATGGGGAAATCGAGGCATCGGGTGTGCGGTTTCACTGAGGGTGAGGGAAAGGCCGGCCTTGACTAGTCCTGCCGTCAGCGGCTGGGTTCGAAGTGGGGAGGGAGGAATGTGTTGATGGCCCGAGCTGCTCCTCATATCCGTGTTTCCCTTTTGCTCAGGTGCTAGTGCAGGAGCTCGAGGAGCATCAGGTACGGAGCCCCTTCGGGAAGACGTGGGGAGGGCTGGGGTGAGACTGGAGGAAGGGGAGGGCAAGTCAGGGGCGGAGGACAGAGGCTGGGAGGGAAGCTTGGATCTGGGCACTCCTAACTGTTGTCACTGGAGTGAACCAGCTTCTTCCCTCAAAAGGGGCGGATATCGCCGGGGTCTTAACTCGCCCCCTCTTTATGACCAAGGGGGGCGGTTTTTCAGGATTTCCTCCCCCTCGGCCTCCTCCTTCCTACACTGGACTAGCTTTGAGGCAACAGCTATCGGACCTAGAGAAATACAGACGCCAGAGGGTCGGGGACCAGGACCCGGGTTGGGTCGGGTTCATTGGGAGCCAAGGCATGGCCTATATGGTTTGCCCACCCCCCACCCTTTCTTTTCTCTCGCCCCCAGTTGATTCCGCGCCGCTTAGACTGGGAGGGAAAAGAGCACCGAAGAAGCTTCGAGGATCTGGTGAGTAAAGTTTTCATTTCAACTTAATCCAACTCTTTCTACACTCTCTCTCCACCTTGTTCCCCCAACCCGCTCCCAACCCCTTAGCCAACAGGGCTGTAGAGCTCTGCGCTGGGCCGAAGAACGACTGCCCCTTCCCCCGCTCCCTGCCAGTCAGAGAAAGGGTACCTTGTCCTCCCCCTGGCCTCGCTTACTTCCACTCGGAAACTTTGAAGAATGTGAGTTAGTTATCAGAGATACCGTTTTGTGGATTATGAATATGTTACAAACATTGAGAAAGGCCCATTGTAGGGGGAAAAGGGAGAGAAACCTGGGGGTTATCTTGGGGCACGTACCAAGGACTGACGTTGGCCAATGACAGCGTTGGTAACAGCCCAGAGTTCCGGATTAGTGGAAGAAAACTGGTTTCTGGTTGGTCCTGGCTTGAAATACGGGAACTGAGGCCAGGCTTAGTCTTTGGTGGGGGGGCTTACGGGGTAGGGGGCTCAGGAGGGGAGTTAACCGACCCTGGATTGGGCAAAACGACACAATTAAAAATAATAGGAAGCATCAAGCGAATTCCAAAATTTGCCGGTTTTAGGTAATCTACTACCGAATAAAAAAAGCATAATTATTGTATGTATCACATTTTAGAAAATAGCTCATTAAATCATTATATCGCATTTCAGCAGATACATTTTCACTAAATTACTACGGATTTATGACCTTTTTGAGAATTGATGAAACACGATTTGGGGTTTAGAAGAGCCAACAATGGTTATATTTTTAAAATATACTTTAGTAAAGGACCAAAGGCATTGGATTGACTGGGTTGTTTCTCCTACAAATGTAATTCATAGTGTCCATGCACTTCTGTTCAGCATTGACACACACAAAAAGGTGGTGTTTTTTTTATTTTTCGGAAGATGTCCCCTTGCGTTAGCCTCTGGTATAGTGAATTGGAAGGAAATGAAAGGAGAAAGGGGTGATGTTACTAAAAACTAAATTCAGCTATCTTTCCTTCAAATAAGACCCAAATGGCGGAAAATCAAAGTTAAAGAGAGTTGAAGGGGTATGGTAGACTGTAAATATAAATAAAATGATTTAATAATACAATATTTAAACTTAGTGTTAATTTGACAATTTTTATATTAAATTACACTGATGAGGCCATGTTAATAATTATTAAATAATAATTTTAGTTTTCTGACTAAATATTTTATTTTTTGCAAATCACAAAATGGTGTAATAATTGTAATATGGATAAACTCCACCATCTATACTATTAATGGTAAAGAATTCTCAGGTGGATAAAAACTATTTTGGAAAAACTGCATGTATTATCACTGTATTTAATTTGTTGTCAGACTTTTTGTTGGACTGAAGTCCTGCCAAAAAAGGGGCAAAACAATGCCTACCAATATCTATTTAAATACTTTATAACTAATGTGGTTTTGAAGATAGTTTTATACTGAGATGTATTGAAGATGTTTTCATTTACCTTTGTCTCTAAACAGACCATTTTAAGCAAATAGCAAAAAGAAACTTAAAAGAAAAAGCTTTTTATAAAAAAGATAAAGCTTTTTAAAAATTACTTGACAGTGATAAAAAGCAAATGGACATCAAAATAATTAAAAACAGTCTACTAACCACACACCCACATAAAAACAAAAAAATCCCACAAAGTCCAGTTTACTAGACTTCCTTTCCTTTTATTATAGAGGCATATTTTTACATAGTGGTAATCAATGTCCATTTTAAGCTCTATGTTTTAACACTTTCACATATAATTTTCTTTTTTGAATAGACATTGTCATTTCAATGATAAGAAAAGATTCAGTTACATTTAAGTTGGCTATGATTTGAACTCAACATTCAGTTGAACATTTAGATTACTTCCAGTTTTTCATTAATATCTTTGCATAGTTAAATAGTCTTTCTTCTTTTTTCCTTTCTTTTTTTGGATTTATTTTCCTGGACTGTATTTCTAAAGTGGAGTTATCAGGTCAAAGGGTGTCATCGGTTTTTTAGCTTCTCTTATATATTACAAAATTGCTCTCCAGAAGATAGTACTAATTTATGATGTTACCATCTAGGTACTTAGAGTGAGTTTTTAAATACTTTTAAAATCTTTTGGTGGCTTTAATAGGTGAAATAGCCCCTAGTTGATTTAATTAGCTCTTTTTTTCATGATTAGTGAAGCTTAAATTTTAACCAGTTATTTTTTTAATTGTTGTTAATCCTTTTGTATATCCCTATGTATACCTGATTTTCACATTTATCTTTTAAATTTATCTTTTGAATATTTCCTTATACATTTTTATTTTTATTACACAGACTTTCATCTATTGTTTGAACATTGTCTATAATTTAGATAGTACATCTTTTGTTTTTAATTTAATTTTCATATTGTACAGAGGTTTTTATTTTTCTGGGATCCAGTGTTTCTAGGAATATTATATTTTGTTAATATGGTCCTATTTTAAATCAAATATCTGTTCTCTACTTATAAATTTCTTTGTAAGGGAAGATGGGGTAGGGCTGAGTGAGAATTTGAACAGAAGGAAAAGAAGTATAGTGGCTTAGAACTGAATGTGCTGTGTTAGATTGATCACTAGATGCATCAGTTGTATAGTTGCTTAAAATTATCTCACATTTGACCTTTGATTTTGTGTGGCTTCATTGTGGGAGATATTTTTTTTTTCTTAGTGTAGGTATTTTTTAAAATGCTGTTAGAACAATGGATTTATACAATGTGATCTTTGATTTAGCTACATGTTTCAGGTTGAAGTTTAGGATAAATATTAGTAATTAGTAAAACGTTATATGTACATAGTATTTTTAAATAGTATAATTCTGTATGTTAAATTATATAGCAATACTTCGAACTGAAGGTAAACTAGTATAAGAAGGAAAGAATACAAATGCATGATGAAGAGCTAAAGGATTATAAACAAGGATATCAAAATACTGAATTAAGATTGCATAGCCATGTATACTATGAAACAAAACTCCTGCCTTTCTGTCTGTATGTGTACTTTCACTTAAATTGTATGTGCTGCTTAACTTGATTTATCCAGGAGAATATTAAGATAATAAGTTGGATTTCTTCAACACTTCATTACTGTTACTATTATGCATTCTAGAAATCCGTCTTTTTTCTTTCTTAAATCTGATTTAGTGTTTTACTTATAATTTGGAACAAAAGGAAAGGTGGTATTTTGTTAAAGGTACTAGCAGGCTAGTACTGACATATTCAGATCTGAAGTACCTATTAAAATATGAGCCTGTACATGAAATGTTTGTCAGTTTATGTTGAACTGTAAGGTTTTTGAATATGGCATTTAAAATAAAACATTCTAAATTAACTTTCAGAATTTTAAGTAATGATACAGGGAGAAATTTGAAGTAATGGTGAGTTTTTTTGAAGTTTAATCTGGACATTTTTCATTTCTGCTTGACTCTTATTTACAATGTAATAGAATTAAATTTGCTTCTTACAATTCATCTTATGGTAGATAATTTAAATAATTACAGATGTCTGTTCATTTGTGGTGACCCTGTTGAATTGTTGGCTATTTTATTGCTTCCTCCTTGGAGCTTTATTGGGGACTACAAACATAGTAATGAGGGGTATGTGTGTATGTGTGTGTTTAAATAAAGTTTTTGTTAACAAACACATTTTATATATTGAAATTGTGACTTGGAAGCTTTTTTTAAAGGCATGTTTTAATATTTTTTAATCATTTTAAGGGGACTTGTATCATGAGACTGAACCAAAGGCATAATTATCTTTAGGTATGGTATATATTTTTAAATTTATTCAGCATTTATCATGTATAGAATTGAAAGCCCTAATTAGTGCTTTCATTTAGAGTGACATAGATTGTATTACCTTCATTTTATATTCAAAAGACTTGAAGCGATTTTATGCTATTGAAAAGTTTATCAAGATTATATGTTCATTACTATCTTTAAAAAATGTATACATCTATGATGATATATGTCGTTATAAGAACTTGCATCTGCATATAATATATGCAAGTTTAAAAGTGCTTTCACATTATCTCATTTGATGCTCGCCAAGTACTTTAAAATACTCTATTTGAATTCCAGACATACCTGTATTTTTTTCTTACCTTACCCAGCTCTTGTTCTCTAATTACTAGTAATAGCTTAAATTGTCTATTAGAACATTAGAATGATTTTTGAGTGCTGGAGGCATAGTTATTGCATCTCTAAGTGTGGAAGTAATTTAAGTGTGTGTGATTTATTAACTGCTATGTGGGTACACAGCCATAGTTAGGAAGAACAGAATGCATCATGGGAAACCAAAAGGCATGTGCTACTCAACCCCAGTGTGGATATAATGCTAAACTGATAGGTCCTATGGTAGAGAGCAATTAATGTCTGGAAACTAGTATTCCTCACTTTTGATTTGTTTGAGCCACATGTATACTTTTGCTTTCTATAATATGTTGGTTTTAGCTATTTGTCTGGATTGATCATTGTCTTTTTTTTCACACTTTGGCTCTAAGAACATACTTTCAATGATTAAAATCCTTTTGGAGATTTATCATTAGTTCTAGGAAACTGGTATCTTAGTACAAATGAGATGGCTTTAAGAAAGTGAAGAGAGCTGCGATTAGGGAGTAAGAATTTGGGTTGGGTGAATGTTCCTTATAAACTTTTGTCCTGAAGGCACCTTTGTCAATTTGAATATTAGTTTGTTTTTGTTCTTGGTTTACTGATGTTGATTACTGATTGATTAATAAACAGTTTTTTGGTAGAGAGCAAAAAAGTAATTTTAAGTCAATTTAGTGTTTGGGTCAAATCTCAGAGATGCCCTTGTTTGACATTTTTCATGAAGGATTTTGTGAGTAGTAGAAAATACTGTAAGATTTAGTTGGGAAGATAGTCTTGCTGAGTGACCCTGGGCAAGTTACTTAACCTCTCAGGGATTCAGTTTCCTCATTTATAAAATAAACCCCCATATCTATTTTACAAGGTTGTTGTGCAAA